CCAGTGGCACAGACCGGGCTGCTGTCATGTTCCTGGCCTCCAGGTCCAGGGTCACGGTGTTGGCTCGTGGGCTGCTTCTGAGGCATGAGGGGGGCAGTCTCGCCCAGGCCCCTCTCCTGGCATGTAGCGGCTGTCTTCACAGTCCGGCCACCTCTCTGCATGTCTCTGCAGCTTCCTGTATTAAAGGACGTGGCCACACTGGGTAGGGCCCTCCCTAATGATCTGGTTTAAACCTGATTACCTCTATAAAGAGGCTGTTTCAAATAGGGTCCCAAGGGGGCCACTGGGTAGCATGGTGATTAAAGTGCTGGAATCCCATGTGGTCAGCTGCGGTTCGAGTCCTAGACCCGGCAACCTGAGAGTCATGTCTGGCACATGTGTGTGCGTGCCCAAAATCCCAAAAGAATAGAGGAGAAGCGGTTGTGGCGTGGACGTCTCCCTGGGGGTGGTCTCTCAGTTCCCCCGGTCTCTCTCTGGTGAGCACACGTGCCCTGTGGCAAAACCTAAAAACAAATACGTTCCTGAGGTGCTGGCGGTGAGGGTGTCACATGACTTTGGGGGACACGTTTTGACCTGGAATGCCAGGGAAATATTTCTACACTAGGAGTGAGAGCAAGCGATGATGCCATTTCAGCAGGCGGGTTTTTAAACGCGTAGTTACTCATTTTAGAGAGGACGCAGGAGAGGGTATAAGTACACAGACACTTTGGGATTGTGTGATTTGCAAACGTGTATTATCCTTCAGCCTTCTGAGTGTATTTCATCATTCTTTGTTTTATAAAATAAGGACTCTTCACTCCTGGACTGATGATCAGAGGAGGGAGCCTGTCTCATTTAGGTGAGAGGTTCCCGGAAGAGCAGATCCTTGTAAAAATCAGTAAGAATGGTGTCAGAGAGTCAGTCATCCTGGCCACTGTGTAACAGCTGTGTGGCAGGGAGATTGAGGCCGCTGGATCCCACATGGCTGACAGCTTGGTTCGAGTCCTGGACTGGGCGACTTGAAAAGCATGCACAATGTGGGTGTCGTGCCCAAAATCCAGAGAGGAGGAGGCATTGCAGCATGACCGGCACCCCCCTGTCCAGGGGTGATTTCTCACTTTGTCTCTGTCTCTGTCCAGTGAGTACATGCACCCTTTTTTAATTTGAAAAATAAAATAAAATGAAATGTATACTTCTAAAAACAAGGCAGCCTGGTCTCTGCAGATCAGTCTGGAGGAGGAAGTCTGTCCTGCGCCAGCTGGCTGGCAGGGAGGGGCGGAGCTGAGCACCCGGAGGACAAAGGTCCCATCCAGGCTTCCCTGCTCGCGGCATGTGGGGTGCTCAGAGCCTGCTCCTGTGTGCGCGCCTGTGCTCCTAGGCCCCCCTCACAGGCCAGGTGAGGTTTCATGCCGGTCGGTAAGTGGGAAAATACTGTGTTTGGGGTGCTTGTATTTTGGACTCGCCTTCAAAACTTCCAGCACATGACCAGCAGTTAGTGTAATGACTGTGTTGCTGGACTCCCATGTAGCTGACCGTGGTTCGAGTCCCGGACATAGTGGCTTAAACTCACACAAGGCACGTGTGAGTGCATGCCCAAGATCCTGAGAGAATGGAGAAGGGACTGCTGCATGGCCATCCCCCCGGGGGAGTGATTTCTCACTTTCTGTCTCTGTCTCTCTGGCAAGTGCGCATGCCCTATAGCAAAGACCTCTCCAAAACAAAAACAAAAAACAAAAATTAAAAAAAAGGCAAAACTTCCAGCACATTCTTGGAATTATCCTCAAGGGTGGCAAAACTGAAAAATGGTTCTGCGTTTTGGAAGCAGCCGGACTGGTGACGGGGGTTACTCAGAGTGGTGCCACTGAGGCACAGGAGTGGGAGCCCCCGCCCGGCTCCTGGCCTGTCCACTCTGGAGGCCGCGGGCACCTGGAGCGGCCAGTGGGCTGGGATGCGCCTCAGCGCGACGTGCACACAGGCTGGGAGAGGCTCCAGCATTTAAATACCTCACTAGCATCTTTTAACATTGATTACATGCTGAAATAATATTTCGGATAAGCTGCGTTAAAAGCATTAAATTAGTTTCACGTGTTTCTTTTTACTTTTTCAACGTGGCTGCTAAAAGCATTTAGAGTGTTCGTGGCTCGCGCTGTCATTCCAGGAGGCCAGGGTGGGCTTTCTCCTACGGCTCACGGCCTGACCTTGTAACCTGCGCTGCACCCTGGACTCGAACACGTTCTGGACAGGGAAGCCCTTAGAGGAGGGCGAGGATGGCACAGCTCTGCGTGTGCGGGCTGCCGTGTGGTTTTTGTTTTAATATTTTTTTACGTTTTTGCCACAGAGCACAAGTGCTCATCAGAGAAAGAGAGACAGAGAGACAGAAAGCAAGACCACCCCCGGGGGAACGGCCTGGCCTCAGCCCTTTCTCCTCCATCCTCCTCTCGAGATTTCGGGCACTTGCACACATGCACCCAGCATGGATTTTAAGCCACCAGGTCCGGGACTCGAACTGTGGTCAGTCGTGTGGGAGCCACACCACCCGCTGTCCCGCCATGACTGGGAATGCCTCACGTACCATAGTGTTGGTAAGGTGCTCTGATAATGAGGACTACTGTGGTTACCATGAGGGAGACACGCCCCCGACCAGGAGCGGCCAGAGCCTTCCGGAGTGACTGACAGGCAGCGAGGAGAGTGGTCCACGCCGGGTCTGCTGTCTGCACCGTGGCCCAGTCCGGCTGTCCGCCTGCTTCCTACCGCCGAGCTTAGGGTGGTACATCGCCATGGAGACAACCGGGAGGCTGGCGGGAGGAAAGGGGAGGGAGGGCCGAGGGCGGAGGGGAGCTGAAGGCCAGGTGTTGAACTGCCTGTCCTGGGACCCCGGCTGTCACCACGGAGACCCAGCCCAGAGACCATCCACGTGCTGGAGCTGAGAGCCCCACGTAGGGAACCCCAGTCCGCTCTGGACTTTGAAGAAACGTGAAAATATGGAGAGGTGAAAGGACAACGGTGATCCCAGCGCCTCTGCTGGCCGTGAATTCTCCATCGGTCTGCGCCGTAGAAACACCAAGCTCCCCGCTTTGCCACTGTCAAGTGTACGGTCCGGCAGTCAGGACATTCAGACCGTGTGCCCGCGCCACCTCCTCCAGGCCACGGTCACCTCCCGAGGGGCCTGTCCCAGTCAGCGCCCCCGGCCCGCTTTCCGTGTGCGCTTGTCCACCCGGGTGAGCACGACCCGCCAACCCCAGGGCGTTGGCCTCGGCCTGGCTCGTCACCGGGCTTCGGGCTCCAGGTCCGTCCGTGCTGCATCGCGTGGTGACTTTCCCACTCAGGGCCGTGTGTCGCTCCCCGCTCCCCGTCGGTCCTTTCACCAAATTGACTTGGAGTCTTGTTTTTCCCGAGGGGTCACGTCGAAGCCCCTGTGTGATCTTTCCACCCTGGCCCCAAGCCCCTCCTGGAGCCCGACAAAGTGGCCTGTCCCTGCCTGGCTGCGGCTGGAGTCCTGGACGTCCACACCCAATAACCAGGGTATGGCGATGCCTGACGCCTGGTCTCCGCGTCCACACTCCCCATCCACATGTGCCCGTGGCTCAGTCGGGTGCGTGCGGACACACGCCTCGGCCCTGCGGCGGGCGGGGGCCCCCGGGATCCTGCGCACTAGGCGGGCGCTTCCGCCTGTTTGGTACAACACTCCTACGGGGACTTCTGAAAGTTCAAGGAAAACAGATAAAATGGGAGTTTATTTTGATGCAAAGAGTCCCGGAGTCCACGCCTCGCGTCTTCACGGTGCGCCTTTTCCACAGCCTTTCCGGAGCCCTCTCGTGCGTCTGCTTGGCAGGGCCCAGGCTGCGGCACCTGCACGGGCATCCTCACGGGACAGCGCTTCACGGCCCAGCCTGAGCCCAGCCACGGCTGCTGTACAAGAGCACTTTCTATTCTTGTTTTTTTTTTTTTTTCTCTTGTGCTGGTCTTGACCCACTGAATTGATTTCTGGGTTTGCTATAGGGCTGGATCCTGCAGTTTCAGAACCCACCAAAGGCATTTCCTAGAAGTGGAAGTTCCAGGCTCATGTATTTTCAGTGGAACCACATCACCCCCACCTTGGAGACCAGAGCCTGTAGTGTCACCAATGGTTGATACTTTTAGACTTAAAATTGCTGGGACCAGCAGTTGGTATAATGGCGATATTGCTGGACTCCCATGTAGTCGACCGTGGTTCGAGTCCCGGACCCGGTGGCTTAAACTCACGCCAGGTGCATGTGCGTGCATGCCCAATATCCCAAGAGGAGAATGGAGGAGAAGGGATTGCGACGTGGCCATCCCCCCTGGGGGGTGATTTCTCGCTTTCTGTCTCTCTCTGTCTGTCTGGCAAGCACATGTGCCCTATAGCGAAAAACCTCTCCAAAAAAACTGCTCTTTGCCCGTCTGTTGAGTGTCAGTTGGATTTGAAAGTAAGATCTCTTTGCATGAGTACCTGTTCTCTGGTTTTCCTCGTATGAGTTGCCCAGTTACTCTCTGGGCGGCTGTTCCTTTTATCTGGTGAATCTAGGGGAGATCTTTATATATTCCGGATACTGATCCTTCTGTTTCTTGTTTTCGGGTTTTTCAATGTATGTAAAATTGTGTCCTAAGAATATGATTGATGCCACCTTGCGGTGGGAGGGTGGAGGTGGGGCTGGCACGGGGTCAGGCCTGCACAGAGGGGCGAGAGGTGGAGGCTGGGAGGGCCCCTCGGTGCGGGTGTTGCTTTATGAGGTTACTGTGGTGGGGACGGGGCAGGTGGTTTTGCCCCATGGGGCGTGTGGCAATGTCTACAGGCGTTCAAGGTGGCCACCCCGGGAAGGGGGCTGCCAGTGGCCTCTGGTCCGGAGGTCAGGCATCCCTGGTGCTGAGCTGGAGCGCCTGCCACCCCGTGCTCCACCTGAGCCGGTTCCTGTGGCCGGCCAGCGCCCGTGGGCACCTGCTGACTGCCCTGCCATCCCCCCCCCCCGCCACCC